ACTGGGCTGTGAGTTTTGTACTCACTCTGGCAGTGATCCAGCTTCATTAGAGCCAAGGACAACTGTCACTGCTCACCACCACCAGAGTCCCTGTCTTAGATCTCAGAGGTTCCTCCTGAGAGGTGGCTTGGGTCTTTCATATTTCTGTAACCAACTGACTTGCAGAAAAATCAGTGAGTACCTTTGAAAAGAAAGTAGCCACAGCTACACTCAGCGGCCAAAATCCCTTCTGGCATCCTGTCTCAGCTGTGCCACATGTTGAATTGAGCTTTCCAAATGTTTGAGGGAAAGGAATACATCTGTCATGGATTCTGCTCTGCCTTTGTAGAGAGTGAGGCTCTAAGTCCTTCAAAGTGGGACACAATCCTTGACACAATCAAAATACTAGGAGCATGGAAATTTAGCAGTCAAGGAAGACACCCCAGAAAAGTTGTAGTGCCTCAAGGGTAGGATTCTAACCCACTAGCCTCAATATTTAGCCTTGCTTTGACATGTAGAAATCAGAAACTTAGCTACTGTTTAGAACCAAGCTAAAACTGTTCATTTTGAAAAATAAAAATGTGCATTTGTCAAAAGACAAAAAGACATTTAAGTTCTGGAAGGACAATCAGTGGACTGAGTGGCAGCTCTGGTGTGGAAAGGGAGAGAGCGTGGAGCCTGCAGACAAACACTGGGATTGAAAGAAGCAACAGGGGCAGTAATGCAAGTCCGAACAGGAGGAGCTCAGTGCTGATGCTGAATTCTGTGCATGTGCAATTCTTTTCCTGAACCAGTCATTTCCAGAAGGATGGAAAGAGATTTTGAGCCAGAACCCTGTAACAGCAAGACTGTGTTATGTCATGGGGTTGGTGAGTAGAGAAGACTTCCTGGAAGGTGAAGTAGGTACTTGACTGAAGAAGAGCACTTACAGAAAACAGCGGACTAGGAGATACCACCACTGTAGAAGGCTAACAGATACAGGCATTGCTTTTCCTCATAGTTGTGCCATCTGTAAAAAGGTGCCATAAATGTTCCTCTGAAGAAGCAGGTCTGCTCAAATAAAAGACTGACACCTTCACCTTCTCACTTCTGTAATGGTCTTTCTCACTATGTCTTCTAATCCCCCAATGCTGAGTGCATCCCTGTGGACAGCAAGCCCACCTCATCTTTTTCTATATTCCAAGTTATCCTGTTATTTCACCACTTGTGAAAGGATACCATGAAGCAAACTCTTTTCAAAGAACTGCTAGTTTTATTGTCCAACCAAAAGCACACATTTGTCTCCAGGTCATGTGACACAGGAATATTCATGGTTACAGGGGAACCCACGGTGTCTTTCATGGACTGGACAGTTCCCTTGTTGTTAGTTACCAGTGCCAATAAATACAGCCATTTTGACACCTAGACCATGCATTCTCACCATGCTGCCCTAGTCAACAGGAGAGTTTGAGGTGAAGATTCCCAACTCTTTGCACAACTCCATGGGACCCACACAACCTGCAAGTTAAGAACCCTTTCCTATTCTTACGTAGCAGTACTAAAATTTGTTGGATACATAATTTATACAAGGCACCACAGTGAACAAAAATATAGTCAATCTACATGATGGATATAAGATTTCCTAAAAAGCATATAATGATTTTATTTCAACATTAGTAATAACCTAGTTGGAATTACAAGACTATCCCCAGCTCCTCTCCAATTCACAGTACCTTAATAGGAGAGAAGAGAATTGGCAGTTTCTAACTTTTTCAATCTTCATACCCTTAATCTTGGTATAATGCAGTATAGAAGACATAAACATGCCCAAAATACGCTTGCTTTTTTAATTACCTTTTACATACTCCTGAGAAATGATTTACAGTCTCCCAGCATCCCTACATCATAGCACTGAAAGCTGTTTTCCTGCTGTGTTTGACATGGGCTAACACAACAACTTGATTGTGAGCCAGCTCTGCCAATGAAACTGAAACAAAATTGTTCTTGTCGTTTCTTCTGGTCAATAGTTTCTTCCTAGTAAAAGTCTTAATGCTTACACCCCCTTCTATGCATAGCAAGTTTCTTTGCTTGGATATCCTTTGGTGCCATTCTGACAATAAATATGATGAAGAGGATACTTCTGACTGTTAATTTCTCAGGATGGAGATGATGGATATCCATCTCAGATGGATAAGAGAAGGGCAGCCTCTCTTCATTCTTCTCCAGAGACTGTTGCAGGGATACACCTTACATTTGAATATCTCCTTTTTTTTTTTTCTCTTTTAAAATGACATTCAGCTAGAGTTAAGGGTATTATTGCATGTTTTCCTTTATGCTCTAGGCTGGCAGCTTGACCCATAAAGATAAGTCTAGATTGCTAGGATGTGTGTTCTTTTGTACTGAAACATTTTTATTTGACTTCCAACAACAGCTTGCTTTGGCACAACAGCCTAGGAGTGTCTATATTGATATTGTGTGGCAGTAACTCCTGTAAACCCACTTCCTCATGCTAGGCCATGGCAGGACCTTAAAAGAGATAGTCCCTGATCAAAGAGTGATTACAAACAAAAGCAGACACAAAGCAATACCTTGTCCTTCGGCTCTGCCCATTTGATTGTATGGCAGAAAGAAGCAAGTCATACCAAGTCAGCAATTTACAGAATAATGTGATTAAATTGTTTTATGGCAGGAAAATGCTGCCAGGTCAATCCTTTAATCTGTTCACAGACATTCCTGTTAGGTTTTACTGCACTGGTAGTACTAGCAGTGTGCAGCTGATATGCTTTTTTATAATGAGTGCATGAAAATGGCAACATTGAATCCCCTAATATTGTGCTATTCTCAATTACTGTGAAGACATTTTTTATTTTGTCTTTTGGGAATGCACTGCTTTTTCTTTAACAAAGTATTTGTTCTTCAGAGTGAGACAGGCTCTGGGGCACCTGGAGAACCTCAGTTTGAGTGTTCTTTCACTCAGTGACCTAAGAAGTTGAAGTAAGCAAATCACATGATGTATTGAGCTGATGATTTTTTTAAATGGCACAGTAGAGAAATGGCTTCTGCATACATGGAACCTATTTCTAGAGTCTGCTAATTGTAAGAGGCACAGCTGTGATAGAATTTTCTTC